GTGTGTGTCTTTGTGTGTGTGTGTGTTTCTGTGTGTCTCTGTGTGTCTCCGTGTGTCCCTGTGTCTGGGTGGCTGTGTCTCTGTGTGTCCCTGTGTCTGGGTGGCTGTGTCTCTGTGTCTGTGTGTCTGTGTGTGTCTGTGTCTGTGTCTGTGTTTGTCTGAGAGGGTCGTTGTTTGTGGGGGTTCTGTCTGCACCGGTTACTTGCAACTTCGTCTAGCTTACTCATGGGGCTCCTCTGTTTGGGCCGGTGCCTGCATCAACCCAGGAGGGAAGCGCTTCTTCACACGTTTTCTATTCTCTACTTTTTTCAACCTGTTTGCACGCGCATGCTTGTGCAGCCTGCGGCAGCAAGCTCCGGAGTAAGTTCCCAAGATCTATGCACCCTTTGTGCATCGGGTGAACGTGGGATGTTTGCGTAGCTGCTCTACACCTTAGGCGCGGAGTCACCGGAATGGACGAGCATCCCAAGGGTCGAAAAGAGGCTCTTATTAAAGCTGATAACTTATTGAACGACATCTACGGAGCCTCGACCCTCCACTGGTCCCACAACATTTTCTTGCCACAGCGCCCCTGAAGTTGAGACCCAATTCTAAGACAGCACTTGAGGGGTAGCGTAGCATGCTGCCACTCCACGAAGTCACCCCTCTGTAGGGCGTTGACGGCTCGGAGATCGGCACCTACGCCTATCGAGTCACGGACACCTCGGTCCTCGTGGAGTACGAGAACGCCAAGATCGAGTTGCCGGAAACGTGGCCACAAGAAGATTCCATAAGGAAATTTCCTTGGGGGTTCCACATCACCTGGGTCCTTCGAAAGGGCTCATCTTGTTGGGTGGTTTGATGCAGGAATGCTTCCCTGCAAAGCTCTGTCTCCTCATTGCTTTTGGGGATTGCAGGTTCCAGGATCCTATGAGTTCTGAAGGAGCTTACCCGGGTTCACTGGCCCTTGTTTTTTGTCTAGGCGGAACAAGAGTCACAGGCGAGAAATCGATGTCTTCGGGTCAGGGATCCATGCTCTTTCGATAGTTTCTGATCGGCGCTGCTGCGGCAGCCCAAAAAAAACATGGGTAGTTCTCTAAATTGGGGTTTCCTTTAAGGGTCCCTATTTGGGGAGCTAAACAGGATCCCTATTTTAGAGAACTACCCACATGCAATGCTCAGAGGGATGCCGGGCCTTCTTCCTTACTTGGTGGATAAGGGAGAACCGATAAACCCTAAACCCTAAACCGATAAGGGGGAGTTGGCTTCCAAAACTGAAATTGCTTCCTGGGGCCTGAGCCTCGGAAACGGCCAAACTTTGAGACTGATCTTGGGCTAAGGTTTAGGGCTTGGGGGGAATGTTTGCGAAATTTTGATTCGGGAGGGGGCGAGATTCCAAAGGTTATTGGCCTTCTGGTTCCTATGAGAGTGAAGAGCTGAACTTGTGCCCGGGGCCCTGCGTTCAAGGTGTCTCTCTTGCGGGAGCTTCAGACAGATCCAGACGACGCCGTCGTGATCAGCCTTGCGAGCTTTACGAACGAATCCTTTGCCATCCGGCTGCGAGCCGTGTGTTTCGGGACCCTCACGAAATCCACATAGCTGGGACCTCTTTATGAGACGCTTCCGGTCAGAGCTTGTGTTGCATGGAAGTGTGTTGCCGGCTTTCAGATCCTGCAAAAGTGGCATGCTCATGCAATGTTCGGGCTGACAACAACATTTTCTGGACATACGGCCCATGTTGGCCCTAAACCCTAAACCCTAAACCGCAGTCCTCAAACGGAAGCCCCGATGAAGTTTGCATCAGAACTGGAAGTCGCCTCTTCGGATGCCACCCTTCTGGCCCAAGGGCCCCGTCAAAGATGTCAAGACCGTTTATTTAAAGCAACATGGGAGTTTCCGATAATAGGGGACCCTAATATGGTACCCTAAATAGTAGGATCCTTATTATAAGGACCCCAAAATAAGGTACCCTATTATTTAAAGCAACATGGGGGTGTCCGATAATAGGGGGTGCCTTATTTTGGGGGTCCTTATGATAAGGATCCTACTATTTAGGGTACTATATTAGGGTCCCCTATTTTCGGAAACCCCCACATGTACATGGGGTATGGGTCAATGGTTAGAACCGTGGTTCGAACATTTTGACGAAGCTAAGCTTGGCTTCTGTAGACTTTCACTTTTACCCCACTGCGTACTGCCCCCATCTGCCTAACAAGGCTATTAAGGATTTAGCTAGCGCAGTCTTGCAAGGCTCATGCTACCTTGCGTTGGGAGTTTAGGTTGTCGGGTTCTCGCTCTAGCTTCTAGCGCTAGCAGCAGGGCAGCCGGTGTATTGAGCTCAATGAAGGCTGATGCAACTTGCATCCTGTAGCACAGCCCTGGATAAATGGGGCAGCGCTTACCTAGAACAGGATAGGTGCAGTGGGAGTCAATCAGCATAAGAGATGAACCATAGCCCCTGCTCTGAGCTGGCTGAAACTCAACTTCTTCGAACTGAGGCGTACAAGCTGCTCGCTGCAGCCAGTGAGCCGCAGGGCATCCGATTGCTTGCAGATCCATTGCCTCTTAGCTTGATTACCAAACGACGAATATTTCAGCACCAACCTCCCAACATCGGGAACACATTTTCTTCGGGCATCGCCTGAGCATCTTCCAAGCAGCTTCAAGGCGTTGGGGCACGGGCTTAGGCATGAGGTCCGTGCCACGCACTCTCACAGTCGGCGGCAGTCAGGTTAGAGCGTCTTCCACCTGCAGGGGCTTTGTTTTCGGATCATCACACTGTCCTGGATGTCCCCCCGAGAAAATTCGAAGCCATGTTCTGGGAGACGAAGCTTCCCAGAGAAGCGCTCGGAGCTCGTCAGCTCCGAAGCTCCGGGTTCAAGAGCTCAGGAGCTTGAGCTTCTTCAGTGCTGAGGGCACTGTGCTCGAAACGACATCGGAAGATCCGATCAGGACCCGGGGACTTCGGAAAGAGGTGTCATAGGGTTTAGGGTTTAGGGTTTAGGGCATAACTCTGAGTGTCTACTTGCCTACATCCTCTGGGCTCGTCAAGTCTTTCTTTGACAGTGGCTAGAGCGTTTCAGGGAGACGAGCAGACATCCCATGCGGTCTTCTGGAATGCTGCATGTGCATGCAGTATCCTCCTAGATAAATTTATGGTCAGGGGACCCTCATGTCACATGTCCATACAGACATTTCTGTTTTGTTGCCAACGCGACAATGTGATGGGAGCTTGGCCTCCTTTGTCCGCATGGCACTTCCTATGTTGTCTCTCAAACAGCGGCCTTGCTATTACCCTTTACATACAACCTCCTTTCAGGATCTTTTAAAGATTTTCATGAGGGCCTCATCACCACCACATGAGGGCCTCACTACCTAAACCCTTAAACCCT